CCACCCCCACACACACTCCTGCATTAATAAGATTGCCTTAGTGGGTGGCCCGATGTTTTGGATTTCATCGAGTAAGAGACTACTGACCTCCCTGCCACCATTCAAAAACTAAGATATGATCTTAATTTGGGCAGTTGGAAAAGATTTTTTTTCTATTAATGACACGAGATAAAACAGTGAATTTACTATCATCTAGTAACAATATAATTTCAAAACATGACATAAAAGCAAACACAGCAACAACAGCAAACAAACAAAACCCCAGCTGGCTTTAATCCCCCTGTAATGGAGAACCCTTTACATTGCCTACGTTTAGCTGATCGGGAAATCTTACCACGCTGGCTTTGCTTTCCATTTTGCCATACACCGACGCTTGGACCAACGCTTGGAACCCCCTTACTGGTCATCTTTGGAATTTGTCCTTTCCCACGAAAAGGGAATCCCACGCCCCCCCTTCCTTCTTCCTGTGTGGCTCCTCCAGTTCTAGGATGTGGTCGCTGAGATGCAAACCCATCTGCCCTGGCTCTGAAGCAGCAAGCATTTTTAAGTGATGGACACGTATTTTAGGGAACGTGGTGTTGGGATGCCTCTTCCCATGGTTCTTCTCATCTCCCCTTGTGGTTGTGATGGCCCCTCTCCAGCAGCCGCCTTCCCAGGGTGGTCATCTCACAGGGCTCTCTGCCTCTGTGTGATTTCTGGAGAATCTTGGTGATTAGTGATGCTGAGGGCTTTGCAGAGGATTGTTGTTAGGAAGGGCAAAGGTCTAGTGATTTCTGAGTGTCATGGACCCTGGCACATAGATCTAATGTACCGTGCACTGAGTTAAGTTGCCATGCTTGCCTGGTGTATCCTGTACAGGCGGGGGAGGCAAAACAGGTACAGTGAGTAAGTAAGTAGGTAAGTAAAGATGTTGGATTTTAGCTTCAAAGGAAACTTCAAAACATGATTGAAAGGTGGGATGCTTTAGAAACTGACCTGCTAGTCTTTCTAATGGAGCAATTGATGGTAATTGTACACGTAGCCCCCTAATTCTCCCCTAAAATCTAAGAAGGCACTTCTTTTTCTATAACTGCCCCACCTCCCCCAAGTGTGTATCTGTTTGGATGGTTCACCTTCCCCTCTTATGGACAGATTGGAAAGAGAGAAATTTTGAACAGCACCTAAAATTTCTTCAGCATTTAGTTCATCTCTGACTAACAGCGTTGGAAGGCTTTAATTACACATGTAGAATGTTTTCATTTGGTTCTTCCTCTAGAGAAATAGAAACATTTGAGAATAAGCAACACCATTGGTGGTTGACTCCTTGGTAAAACATTCAGGATGGGAAAAACAGATGTCATATTATTTTTGTCTTTTGTCCTAGAAAAATGGCAGCCATGAAGTGTTCTATATTTAAAACCTGCCTCTATTCAGAATCGCTTCCTTTTTACTGAGGCAGTCCGGAGCTGGTGTCCTCAGTGACCTGCTCCGCGTTGCTTTTGTTATGTTAGGACTGTCTAAACTCCACCCCTGGAGGAGATCTGACATTTGTACAGTGAATGGCTCAAAATGCGAACTGTTAATTGGGCCCTGGATTAGGTCGGTGTTTGAAACTTGAGGCATCCTGAGGGGGGCTGTGTAGACTGCAGGGCCCCTTGTTGTAGAGACCGAGTACAGTGGAGTGTGTGGCATCCCCGTCTGCCCACCCGGACTCAGCAAGACTTCCACGGGGTCCAGCCAGAGCCAGGCTGGCAATGGGGAATGTGTTGAATACCAAGCCAAAGGGGAGGGAATATGACTTGATTGATTTTTTTTTTAAATTGAAATGAAAGATAGTTCAAGAATCACTTGATTAGAGCAATGTGTGTGTGTTCTTAGTCAAATGTTTAAAGGTTAAGTTAAAATGTAGCCATGCACCACCTGCTAACTTAATGATAGAGAGGAAAAACAAGGCTAGCGTTAAATTTCCTGCACATCGTTTCCCAGTGGGTCAGTCCTTGCGTGTGAAATTAAAATCC